TTGTGAATGTTTGTGAACATGTTTTTTAGGCATTTGAAATTGAGACCTGAAAACTGTAGGAAAAACATGTAGATACTATCTTCTTTGTATCTTGAGTTATAGAAGATATTGTATATTAGTCAGCTTTCTGTCACCATAATGAAATACTTGAGGCAGATAACTTAACAAGGAGGAAAGTTTATTTAGCACTCAGCTTTGGAAGTTCAGTCTATGTGGCACGATGCAGAAATTGGCTAGGATGAGGCATCCATGGAAGGTGGCAGATTGGAGATGGTGGGGTACATGTAAAGGAAGGATCACATCACAAGCTGGGAAGCAGAAAGAGTAGTTGGGTCCAAACTTAAACTTTTTTTTTTTTTTTGACAGGTAGAGTTATGGACAGTGAGAGAGAGAGCAGAGAGAAAGGTCTTCCTTCTGTTGGTTCACCCCACAAATGGCCGCTACAGCCAGTGCTGTGCCGATCCGAAGCTAGGAGCCAGGTGCTTCTTCCTGGTCTCCCATGTGGGTACCGGGCCCCAAGCACTTGGGCCATCCTCCACTGCCCTCCCGGGCCACAGCAGAGAGCTGGACTGGAAGAGGAGCAACTGGGAATAGAACCTGGTGCCCATATGGGATGCCAGCGCCACAGGCCGAGGATTAACCAAGTGAGCCATGGCACCGGCCCCAAACTTAAACTTTAATAGCAGCCTTCTCAAGATAGCTGCCTTTCAACAGCTGGGCCCTACCATTCCAGCATATGACCTAAGGATGTGCTAGAAGGCTCTACCTCCCAATAGCATCATTCTGGAGACCACGTCTTTAACACATGGGCTTTTAACATTCAAACCATAAGAGATCATATAAAAAAAACTGACCTATGTTTGGAGCAGTACAGCGTAGACTTCAGTGTTGATTTCACACATTTAGAGTCAAAACGAAATAACTCAAGCTTGGGAAGATATATCATGGTTGGATTATTTTGTGTACCTCCTCTGCCTCTGCATCTTGTAACATCACTCACATTCTCTTACGGTAGTGTGTGATTATCTAGTTGGGGATCATGGGGCATTTAATACAGGTTGGCTAATTGTTCACCATCTTTGGGTTGATTTTTCTTTGTTTGAAGTTTATTGGTTTAATTTCTGTACTTGAATAGGAGGGACACAGACAAACAGGAGTGGGGAAAGAGAGATATCCACTGGTTCATTTCCCAAATGCTCACAAAAGCTGATGCTGGGCCAGGTTGAAATAAGCCAAAAACTCCGTTCAGGCCTACTATGTAGGTGGCAGGCACCTAAGTATTTGAGCCACTATCTGCTGTCTCCCAAGGTATGCACCAGCAGAAAGCTAGTTAGGAAGCAGGGTGGGACTCAATGCTGAGTACTCTTGATATGAGATGTGACTGTCCCAAGCAATGGCTTAATCACTGTGCTGCACATTCACCTCAGGTTTCTTCTTTACAGACAGCTAGATATAGTTACTAGCCTCCTTTAGCATTAAATTTGACTTCGTACCTAGTTCTGTCCAATAAAGCAGAAGCTGCAGTGACTTCTTCCTGGCCAATCCCACTGAAAACTCAGTGGAGAATCCTTCCTTTCCGTTCTAACAGCTTAATGCAGATGAACATAATAATCATAAAAGCATCTTTGGAAATGTGGAATTAAAAATGAAAGTACTTACATCTTTGAGCCATATCTTAGAGGAGAAAGATCCAACTGAGAAGAGTGTTCATTTAACTGTTGTGCTCCTCTTCAACTCAGCCTTCCAAATCTTATACAAATGCCTGTCACACTGGCAGATGCTAAGCCTGAACTAGCAAATACAATTGTCAGGCTTCTAGCCTCTGTTATACATGGATGTGTTTAGAACATTGGACTACGACAGAGTACTGACAGAAAATAGATGCCAGGGATATATTTCCCCTCAGCAATAGGCTCCAATGACAGATATCTTAAAAATATATAATTTAATGTTATCAAGGAAATTTTCCTATTTATTGAGTCAGTGTGATTCTGTTATCATCTCCATTACTACTGCCCTCATCCTAGCCAACATTGTTGCTAATCCTGACTACTGAAATGCCTCCTAAGTGCTCTTTATGTAGTCATCTTTTACTACTCACAACAAACAGTGATTCTTGAAATCAAATGTGTCAGGCTTTTGCTCAGAGTCCACCAATGGCTTACCACTGCATTTAGAATAAGGTCAAAGTTTATACCTAGCCTGTAAGGTGGAAATGAGCTGCCTTTCCCTGACTTTGTCTTACTGCTTTCTCCTCTCACTCATCTGCATTCATATTGATCTCCTTAGTCATTGGTTTCACAAAATACAAACAGCACACTACCACTTCTTGAAATGTGGTTCTCTTTGCTGAACTATGATTTTCCTACATAATCTCACAGAATGTTTCTTCACTTCTTTTGAATCTGAAGAAATGTGACTTATGGAATGTTTCCTAACCAGATTATGGTAAAAGGACTCTTCAATCTTTGTCCTTTTATTTAACATTTTTTCCTTATTGCTGTCATATATAAGGATGTTTCAAAAAGTTTATGGAAAATGGAATTTAAAAATAACACACATTTTCCACTGTTTGAAGGCCTGTCATGAGCAAGTACCTGCATATATGTGTGTGTTTACCTATATTAGTAAATGTACATATATAGATGCTCCTTGATTTATGATGGAGTTACATCCTGATAAACCCATCATAGCTTGAAAATGTCATAGTCAAAAATGCATTTGGTACACCTAACCTAGCAAACATCATGGTTTAGCAATGCAGTACACTGTAGGGTGTCAGTCGTTTACTTTTTTTTTTTTTTTTTTGACAGGCAGAGTTAGACAGAGAGAAAGAGACAGAGAGAAAGGTCTTTTTCCCGTTAGTTCACCCCCCAGATGGCCGCCATGGCTGGCGTGCTGTGGCCAGCGCACTGTGCCGATCCAAAGCCAGTAACCAGGTGCTTCCTCCTGGTCTCCCATGCGGGTTCAGGGCTCAAGGACCTGGGCCATCCTCCACTGCACTCCTGGGCCACAGCAGAGAGCTGGACTGGAAGAGGAGCAACCAGCAGTCACTTACTCTTGTAATCACATGGCTGACTGGCAGCTGCAGTTCAGTTTGTTACTGAGCATCACAAGAGAGTATTTTGCTACATATCATAGACTGGGAAGAGATAAAACTCAGAATTTGATGTATGGTTCCTACTGAATGCATATCCTTCTTCACTATTATGAAATAAAAAATCATAAGTCAAACCACTGTATAAGTTGGTAACTGTACATGTGAATGTGTAAGTAAAGAACTTAATTTTATCTGAAGAGCACTCTGGCCTTTCCCCTCAATTTCTGGGAAAGTAATTTCTATTTCTTTTTAGAGTAGGAATTTTTTTTAAAGATTTTATTTATTTATTTAAGAGGTGGAGTTACAGACAGTGAGAGGGATAGGCAGAGAGAAAGGTCTTCCTTCCGTTGGTTCACTCACAAATGGCCACTATGGCTGGAGCTCCGCTGATCTGAAGACAGAAGCCAAGTGCTTCTTTCCAGTGTCCATGTGGGTGCAGGGGCCCAAGCACTTGGGCCATCTTCTACTGCTTTTCCAGGCCATAGCAGAGAGCTGGATTGGAAGATGAGCAGCCGGGACTAGAACCAGTGCCCATATGAGATGCCCGCACCACAGGCGGAGAATTAACCCACTGTGCCACGGCGCCGGCCCTGTAGGAATTTTTTTTTAAAGATTTATTTATTTACTTTGAAAGGTGGAGTAGAAGAGAGAGAGAAGGAGAGGCAGAAAGAGAGAGAGAGAGAGAGAGAGAGAGAGAGAGAGAGCAAGCGCGTGAGCGTGGTCTACCATCATATGGTTCACTCCCCAATTGACTGCAACTGCCGGAGCTGTGCCGATCCAAAGCCAGGAGCCAGGAGCTTCTTTTGGGTCTCCCATGTGCTTTCAGGGGCCCAAAGTCTTGAGCCATCTTCCACTGCTTTCTCAGGCCAAAACAGAGCTGGATTGGAAGTGATGCAGCCGGGACTCAAAACCAGCACCCATATGGCATTGCTGGCACTGCAGACAGTGGCTTTACCCACTACACCACAGTGCTGACCATGGGGAAGTAATTTCTAAACTTTTTAGAGTATCATGCCTGATAAAGTGATACTGTCTTAGGGCCTTGGACCAGCCAAATATTAAATGGGGACTTATGGTCATTCTGTTTCAGCTTGATCTCCTGAGGAGCTGGAAACCAAGACCTGTCCTATAAACAACGAGCCATGCTTACTCCTGCTCATGCCATGATGGAGTCCAGTAAAGACTCTGGCCTGAAGATTCAGATGAACTTCATTGGTTGGCGGAAAGTTTATTGTCCATTACTACAACGGGAAAGTACGATGGAGGTTCTATATAACTTTTCATGAACTCAGTTTCTTCTCTTGGCAGATTTTAACCTGTAAAACTATAACCAGGAGTATATAGTGTTCTGTGAGTGATTTTTTTGAGTCCTTATAGTGAATATTGAAACTGACAGGGGCCGGCGCTGTGGGGCAGTGGGTTAAAGCCCCAGCCTGCAGCACCAGATCCCATGTGGGCGCCAGTTCAAGTCCTGGCTGCTCCTTTTCTGATCCAGCTTTCTGCTATGGCCTGGGAAAGCAGTGGAAGATGGCCCAAGTCCTTGGGCCCCTGCACTCGTGTGAGAGACCTGGAAGAAGCTCCTGGCTCCTGGCTCCTGGCTTCAGCTCAGCTCAGCTGTGGCTGTTTTGGTCAACTGGGGAGTGAACCAGCGGAGTGGAAGACCTCTCTCTCTCTCTCTCTCTGGCTCTACCTCTCTCTGTAACTCTTTCAAATAAATAAAATAATTCTTAAAAAAAAAAAAAAAAAAAAGAAACTGACAGTGGTTTGGGGAACACCCTGAACTTACAGTTGGTGTCAGGAATGAGAGAAATCTTTTTTGGACCATGTTCTCTAACTTTGCAACTAGCTCAAACTCACAGTACATGTATATTTACATATTAGTTTTGTTTTTATTCACAGTTGTAATCCCTAGTATTTAGAAAAATTTCTATCATGTTGTAGTCAGCTATTAAATAGTACAATACAGATAGGAGTGAAAGTAACTGAAAAATGTAAGCAATTAAGAGAAAATCTATTTATAAAATTAAATACTATAGAACCAGATTGAAAAAAGACTGTTTATTCTGAGTGATATTTGTGATGTTTGCTGTCCTCAAAATGAGTTGCTTCTGTCAGTCACAATTGGAAATTTTATAGATTATACATTATTTGTTTATTTTGATTACCATGGGTTTTAGCGATTATGTGCTTGCAGTTTATAGGAATCACCACCCAACTGGTGATATTTTAACAGATAGCAAGTAGTTTTTGGCTTCAACTCATCTATTTATAGAGAAAAGAAATAATCTATACAAAACATAGTATTTATTAATAACAAGAACAATACAACTAAACAAGGGTAAGATATTTGGATATAGCACAAGATATATGTATATCTAGTATTTCCTATGCCAGAGACACACTTTACCATCAAAATCACTCTAAAGAGTAGGTAGATTTAGAAGAATTTTGTAGTTTAATCTTCCCCTCTCTTAACAAGAATTTGGAATAGCCATTCATGTTTAGGCAAAGGCCTAGTAGGTTTTTCTTGTAGATTCAGCTACTGTTGGCTTGGAGTTTGGAGTGTGACAGATTAGCTAGTAAAATGATGCTGACTACCCTCTAAAATATGTTTTTGGGTCAAATAATTCTGGCATTTATTCGATATTGCCGAAGTTTTGAGTGTATCCACCATATTGTGCAATATGCCAGAGCCATTAAATAATCCTAGATCCTTCTTTTTCCAGTTTCCCCAGATAAGGCCTATATTCAGTGAAAATTAAATGGAAGGCAGGAAGGAAAACAGGTATTATTGTATTCTAATCCAATTCTTAATGCTCTTTAAACACTGATTTCCACAAAATCATCCTTCTCATCTTAAATGCTGAATAGGTAAAAAAATTTTTTTTGCATTCAGATATTTACTGTTTTCCTCAGCTTTCTTACAGTCTTATTTCTAATTTCCTTGTTACTAGAAATTCCATTTTAAAGAAGCAATGTCACCTTTATCCTTTAGAATATTACATGTCTGAGTTTAAGTTGTCAAATTATTTTTAAAAGCATTATTTGATTATTCAACTGATTTTTTTCCTTTAGAAAGACACTTAGAATTGATATAAAACATTGGATTGATACTCCCATTAGTCACTGTGTTGAAATAATAATCTTGATGATACAAAGTCTTTTAAACTAGAATATTTTGAATAAGAATATATTTGAGTTTATGCCATGCATTTTTGAAGCTTGCTTTACAAACATTACTAATGACATTACATTTGATTCCCAAATTTAAATAGAGATATGGAAAAGTTAAATGAGAGATGAAGAAAGTCCATTAAAAGAATAAACATTTTGAAAATGATTTTTCTTGGTGGCAAAAGCAAGTAAACAAGCAAGCCTCAACAAAAAAGCCAAAAAACACCCTCTGAAGATAAAACAGTCTGAAAGCCCATGTTGAGTAATTCAGAATTTTGATTCAATACAATGAAATAGAAATCAAATTAAAAATTCTGAAACATAATTCACTCAATCTGTAAACAAATAGAAAATGCATGTGAATGAGGTAGGAGTACACAAAGTCTAATACTGTGTAAAATGTCAACTCAATAACTAGAAATAAATACCAAAGTAACTCATTTAATATACATTTTACAGAAAGAATAGGGTAAAGCAATTTGAAGGAAAATCACTTCATAATTTTTGAAATATCCATTACTAACATTCTGATAATGTGATTCTTGCATTTTTGCAGTGTAATATATTTTAAAATTAATATCTAAATATATATGCAGCTACTTAATAACATGAATTGTTCCTTTATTTGGGATATCACATCGTGTCTCTGGGGTAGAAACAAAAAAAATCACCTGAACTTGAAGTAATATTTGAAATGAATATTTCTGTGCTTCAAGAATGGCCAAGAAAATCTACCTAATCTGCCGCTTTAGAAACAAACATTTTCATTTTAGACTCAGAGGATTTTCTTCTGCTTTATCCAGAAGCTTGTTAGTCTAGTTGGATACGCTCTCATAATTTAATCTGGCAAATCCCCCCCCCCCCCCAGTTTTCCTTCATATAAACAAAACAATTCTAGAATGAAGTGTACAATTACAACCTTTTCCAATAATGTTGGAGTTAAAGACTACTTCTGATTTCACCTGTAACCCATAACATACTTGTTTCATGGGCCATCAGCCTTGACATACTGAAAAGAACAACACTTTAATATAACAGAGAAGAAAAAGGAAAATATACAATTTATATTTTATAGAAATTAAGGTAGCAAGTATTGATAGATTAGGATCATGTGTATCCCCAGACTGGCAGCTTATTGGTCATTTTACACAAGAATGGGTTTCGTAGAGATCCATGTAAAGCTGAAGCCATAATTCTAGTAAGCTTGCTTTGCTAGCAACATTCCAGCAAGTCTCTCATTCCCCTTAAGTCTCTTCCTCCCTTACAGTTTTTACCTGTAAAAACACGTGCATGGGAATAGTATATTCATTGAATGTATATGATTTTCTTGTTTACTGAGAGGTTGACAAATATAAGCAGAAATAGTAGTAAACTAGGCCAAGAATTGATTCAGAAGTTTTTTTTCAAAATTGGATAAGAAACAAAATCTTTTAATTACCACAGTGTGTGATCTTTAGGTAATACATAAAATGCACTTAAGTGTGTGCACTGGTTCCAACTGTTGGCACTAAAAATAATTAACTAGTAAATTGGTTAAGCTTATGCAGACCAACAAATGAAAGCAAATCAGTTCTCAGAACAAAGGTGTTAGTTTTGTATTTTGAAGTTTCAGGGCCTTCTTCTGTTAGCCCAAAGCACCTCTAATTACCCTTGCTTTCTTCCTCTCTTTTCCTGTAAGCTTTGTTTAACAGCTGGATTTCCTCCTGGTAGCCATCCCTCTCTTGATGCTGTCGTTTACTGTTCTGCCTGTGTGCTTCAACAGTGTCTGGAATGGAGATGTTGATATCACCATCAGGATTGCTTGTGGGTAAAAAGAGAGAGTATGAGGCTGTTTCCCCTAAATCACATGAAACAAATCTGTTTTCTTTTCGTGAGTAGCGTAGGGATGGAGATCTGACCTTTGTGGAGGACTGGCTGATGTTGCTAATGATAGAAACAGTATCCAAGGCCTCTTCATTTTCGCAAATTTCAAGAACCTCCAAGTGTATTTTCACACTGGTGTCCGCAAATGTGTTAGGAGAATCCTCTGAATTTGGTTCATGGCCAACACTTTTGGATCGATAGACTTCTATTTTCTTAGAGGCTGGGGTTATTTTTTGCCCTTCTGCGCTCACCTCATAAGTAGAAAGAGATAGGGTTTTCCCTGTTGGTGCATGGAGAGACACAGTCCCCTGGAATGCACACAGAGGAATGGTAAGACCACCACTGGAACGCTGAAGACAAAAACAAAATTGTTATTATTGAAAACTAGTCTCTGAGATAGGGACATTTAGAAATTCATTTTATTCATCACAATAGTAAAGTTTTTCTATTTCAACTGCATTTTCCTAGAAACCTTTTAGAGAAATGCTATTTAAATTATACCTGCAAAACACCATACCTCATTTTTTCTTAGGTCAAATATGGTATTTAAATGAGAGCAGTCAGTAACCTTTCTGGAAGATAAGGAGCATATCTCTACAGCTAAAGGCAAAAATCTGTGCACCAATGAAAAACAATAGATATTTCCAAGGGCAGAACTTGGGTATAAAATTGAATGCATATTTACGTTCTGGAATTACTTTTATATCTGTTATATATTTAGTGATATTAAAATTTTTGCATAGGTTCAAAGAAATTCAGGTTGTGTGATCAACATGCACTATTTTTTTCTGTTTAGTATTCCAGGAAGAAAGATAATTGTGAAATAATGACTCAGATTAATTACAAAGGATATTTCAGCTGCTGGGTTTGAGCATACATAAGAGGACTCAAAATTCAGTAGAATTATAATACAGGGTACTCACTTTTCCTCAGAGTAATACCAGTCATTACAGTAAGCCCAAGGAGAGAGAACTCCTCCACACTGTTGCAAAAGTTTGCTTGAAATTGGCTTGAATCTAGCTCCCTCCTAATGGCCTGGGAAAAGCAGCTGAAGATGGTCCAAGTGTTTGGGCTTCTGCTACCCATGTGGGAGACCTTGATGAAACTCCTGGCTTCTGCCTGGCTCAGCCCTGGCTGTTGCAGCCATCAGGGGAGTGAACTAGCAGATGGAAGATCTCTGTCTCTCCCTCTCTCTAATTCTGATTTCCAAAATACATACATAAATCCTAAAATGATAAAAAAGAAATTGGCTTGAAAATTTAAGTCTTTTCTATTATTCCACAAGAAGTGATTAAGTAATGAAGAAGACACATTAATTCTTATAAAAGAATGTTGTTGATTCATGCATTCGTACTTTCACCAGACCCCTTTTTATTTTAAGATATTCTCAGAACACAGACTTAGAGCAGCAGTTCAGAAAACTGAGTCCCCAGAACAACATCATCACCTAATGACTTTTTAGACTTGTTAGAAATGTAAATTTTTTAAAGTGTATTTATTTATTTGAAAGGCAAAGTTAGAGAGACAGACAGAAGTATAGACAGAGTGATAGAGAGCTTTTCCATTAGCTGGTTCACTATCTAAATGGCTGCAACGGCTGGGGCCAGGCCTGGCCAAAACCAGGAGCCAGGAGCTTCTTCCAGGTTTCCCATGTTAATGCAGGGGCCCAAGGACATGGGCTGTCTTCCACTGCTTTCTCAGGTACAGTAACAGGGAGCTGCATTGGAAATGAAGCAGCCAGGTCATGAACAGGTGCTCATATGGGATTCAGGCACTGCACAGGGTGGCTTAACCTGCTGTGCCAGAGGCCTGGTCCCAAGAAATGTAGATTCTTGAGTCCTACCCTTAGAAACTCATGGCATAGGATCCAGCAGTTTGTGCTTTCACAGACCCTCTGGGTAATTCTGTTGCATGGTAAAGCTTGAGATCCAAGGCTCTAACTAAAGAAATGCTGTAGTCCAGAAAAAGAAGAGATGATGTAGATTTAACACATACTTTTTATACACGTGCTTACCACCTATAAAACCTGTAGTTACTAATGATTGGTTTGCCATGTGTTTGTCCACCAGGAGAATTGGCATGGGGGTTAATTGTATTTTGTCACAATTAGGATGAGCAGCCTTCCTAGTTCCCTGTGACTGTCCCTGTTTTCACACTGAAATGTTTGCACACCAGAATTAGGCAAATAGGGCATAAGAAGTGGAAATGTTAGTCACTATTTGCCCTGGGCATTTTATGTCTGGACCCAACACTAGTGGCTATAGAAAGCCAAGGATCACATTCCCATCATTGGAAAGCAGTTTAAATTCTCTTTACATTTAGAAAAAAATAAGAGAATGACTCATGAACTCCACTGAGGGGTACCTCCATACCTCATTCCTAGAATTTAGGGACCATGAAAAATGTAGCCTTGGAAGTCTGAGACAAGTCACTGGTATTTCCTAGTTATCCTTTCTGGAGAGATCTTGAATTCTCCTTATCCACAAGGGAACCTAGGAACTGAATCTCAGGGTCTTACATTGTAAAGTGAAACTGAAAATTTACAATATAAAGCTTAGGCTGAGGTAAAGAACTTCATCAGCTCCATATATGTGATGTTGGCTGAAGCATGAAAAACAGAGGTACAACACTTAGGCATTGTTACTGTACCACAGCATTATGTAAGTGATGGCAACTTTTGGCAAAGAGGAAATGTCCTTCATTTATTTTTTTTAATCTAATAAACATTTGCTCAGTACAAGGGTACTTCAAAAAGTTGGCTGAAAATGGAATTAAAATCTAAGTTTGTTGTGCAGAAAATTTTGAAATCCAGGCATAAATTTTTCACAGTGTGCATTTTCTATGAACTTTTTGAAGTTCCTTCATATCTGTTAAGTGAAAGATTGCTTGCATTGGGTGTACAGAGATATACTTTATTCAAAGACTTCACAGATGATTGAGTGAAGAGGACGTGAATACACAAAATAAAAATTTAGCTCCAAGTGCAGCTATTAAGACAGAAAACCAAGGCTTATTGAGGTCCAAGGAATGCTTCCTGGTAGAGATTTCATACAAAGGTAGCATTTTGAAATTGTTCTTAAAAATCAAGAAAAGATCTGCAGTTTTTTAATCTGAAAACTGAACTCCCTTATATTATATGTGATTACAAGAAAAAATTAATGCCCTAACTCAGTACTTAAAACTTTCTAAGTTTTCTCTTTGAAATTGAATACTTTATAAACAGAGTGCTGTGTAGTACATTATTTTCAAGCAACATACATTGAGAAAAGTGAATTATCAGATAGTTCCCCAGCAATTTAGGCATGTCTATCTTCAAAGAACCTTCACCAGAGCTTCTACAGCATAATAATGGTGTTACATGTACTAACTTGCATCACTGATGAGAAACTGATTTAAAAGCAAATGTGATGAAGAATTTTCCTACTTCTGATTTTATACATCCACATAATGTAGATTTCAGTCACTCCCTCATGCTAAAACCCTTACCTTCAAACGAACAAACAAGTTTTACTGAGTTATCAAATGGCAGCTCATTAAAATTGGCATTTGAGAATTGCATAGTGCCAGAGTTTGGCTAAGTATAAAGCCTCATTTTTCTGAAAAGGCTCACAGTCTTGAGCTATTGAAATCATTTTGCGAAACATTCTTGTTCAAATAGTAATCTCCTTTAAAGAATCATTGGGGGTAAAAACACAGAGACAACAAAAAACAACCTGATTAAAGCCTGCACAAAGCCTTGAATAGGCATTTTGCTGGAGAAGATACACAAGTAGGTAAGAAGCATAGTGGTAATCATTAGAGAAACGCAGCTCATAACTACATTGGGATGCCTCCCTCACATTAGGATGGCTGCTGTGAAAAGCCCAGAAAACAACGAATGTTGATGAGGATGTGTAGGAATTGGGACTGTTGAACACTGCTCATGAGAAAGGTACACATACTGTGGAAAACAAAATGAATTCCAAGGGAGTGCCCTATTGAAAATGACTATAGCCTACAGGCCAGCATTATGGCATGTGGCTTAAAGCCACCTCAAAAATTTAAAAAGTAGAATTACATGACCTAGCAATTTCACTGTTGAGTATGTATTTTAAAAATGAAAAGAGGATCTTGAAAAGGGATATTTGTATACTCTTGTTTTGTCAAATATTTATTACTCTGAAGTGAACAATGTCTTGTAATAAACAGATTCTAGGGCTGGCATTGTGGTGTAGTGAATAAAGCTGCTGCTTGTGATGCCAGCATCCCATATGAGCACCAGTTCAAGTTCTGACTGCTCTACTTCTGGTACAGCTCCCTGCTGATGTGCCTGGGGAACGCAGCTGAAGATGGCCCAAATATTTGGGCCCCTCCCACCCACATGGGAAACTTGAATAAAGCTCTTGGCTCCTGGCTTTGGCCTGCCTGGGCTGTTGCCATTATCTGGGGAGTGAACCAGTAGATGGAAGAATCTCTCTCTGTCTCACCCTTTCTGTAATTCTGACTTTCAAAGTAAATAAATAACTACTTTAAAAAAGAATAAAAAAATCTTCCTTCTAATTTTACTGGAAAAACTATCATAAAATTTGATTCCAGCAACTGTTAATGTCAATAGAGTTCAAATAAAGAGTCATGTCTCAGAAAAAAGAGAAGGGAATGCAACCTAATTCACAAACCGTAGTGTAGTCCATGGATTTGGAAATCATTCAAAAAATCAGAACAAATTCAAAAACACTAAAAATAAAAAGCAATAAAAGGAGAAAATGAGTATTTTCTACTAAGAAGAAGGATATAATACAAGTACCTGGTAATAGTAGTGTATTTTCACATTTGTATTGGGTATAATAATGTTGCTCCCAAAATTCATGCCCACCTCTAACCTGTGAATATGACTGTGTGGAGATAGTGCTTTTGCAGATGTAATGAAATTAAAATGAAATCATACTGGATTAGGATGAATCTGAATCCAATGACATATCTTTGGATATCCAAAGTTTTGTTATTGGACACAGTACCACTGGATTAGGAATAGGGAAATTTGGACACAGCTACACAGAGTCAAGATGGTCATATGAAGATTCAAATGACCATTGGAGTTTTACTGTCTCTAGGTGAGGAACACCAAGGATTGCCAGCAGCCACCATTGAGGCAAGATAGGACTCTGCCGTAGATATTTAGAGGGAGCATGACCCTGCTGTTGGTCTTAGAAGTGGGAAACAATCTTCTATTGTGAAAATTTATTACAGTAGCCCTAGGAAACTGGTAATACAGTACAAGGTCTTATTCCAACAGGTATAAACATACCTATGGAAATAAAATGTATTTGTCAAAGTCCTACATCTATTCATTTTCTTCTGAAACTAGGGGTAC